AAAAAAAAAAAAAAAAAAAAAAAGACGGACACAGACCAGCCTTGAAACAGAACTTGGGCCAAAACGTCGAAGTTCAAACAGTATATTCCAGAGGCCAGAGCAGGACAAACCTGTGAATGTGTGGACGGAGTCCTGAAACTGCAATCCAGATCCAGTTTCCAAGGGAAAAAAAAAAAAGCAATCAGAGTACTGACCAAGGCATATGAGCTGGCACAGGAGAAAACCGTACTGAGGGCATACTCGCACTAGGACTTTCGTGGATGTATATGACCTCCTTTTCCGGCCCAGCCTGGATGCACCTGACCACAATTGCGTCCAGAGAGAACTAGATGATTTCCTAGTCTGGGTATGCCCTGACACTAACACAATATGCAGAAATCGGAAACAAATTCAAACAATGCAAAGTTGCAAACTGAATAAATGTTAATTATAAAACGGAACTGAGAAGAGAAAATAAATCACATGCCTGTCTTTGGGAACTCACTCCCCAAGGCCTGCAGGTTGCTGAAAGGAGGCCTTGGAGCCTTTGGAGGGGTAAAGTCGCGGCCAAGGGCCTGCCCAAGAAGATGCCGGTTGCCTAGACTTGGTGTGGGAGGCCTTAGCATACGACACCCTTGCTGCATGTGAGTAGAGCAATTCTTGTTGTAACACGATTGGTTGATTTTTAGTTATTTAGCTTTTCTTTTGGTGACGAGTTCTGCCTGTGCGACGATTGAATCTGTATACAATTTTTATTATTATTATTATTTTTTTAAAATATAGTGTGTGTGTTTGACTGATTTGTATTGCTGGAATTTCATCGGGGCGGTGCAGTTCGGTCGTCAGTGGTGCGAGCCGTCGACTTCTCGCCGGGGGCAGAGATGGATGTTGGGGAGCTGCCACTCTGGCCGCATTATGTCGAACTCTGGTCTCATGTTTTGGATTTGGAGGAGAACATGCAGAGTGCGGCAAATGCTATGAGCCAGGGATCGCTTACGGCAGGAGCATCATTAGAAGCACATGGAGGAGATGATGATGGGGAAGGGGGTGAGGTGACGGACTCTGCGTCCTCTGCCGAGGGCGGAGGTGGCGTGGTTGTCTCTGAAGTCTCTAATGAAGGACTCAACACAAAGCACCTGAGTGAGCTAATTTACGACTCAATTATCAGTCAAACCCTGAGCTTGATGAAGGAGCTTGACTTAGATTATGCAGTCAAACCCCCGGCAGGAGCGGAAGCCGAAGGCGATTCCAAAGAGAACACAACAGCAGGTATGTATATGGGTCGAAAACTATGATTAAAAAAAAAAAAAGAAGAAAAAGAAATCATGGTTACCCCCTGCCCGGAACCGTATACCCAAACAAATGCTGTCAGTCTGGATACCATCCAAATTGAGCACCTGGTTTGGATCAATCAGGACAACGGGTGCCTATCATATATTTGCGTGGCGCATGGTGGGGGCCAGAGTTTTGATCGTGTCGCGTGGCATTGCGCATTGGGAAGGGGGAAGAAGCAGGGAGGAGGGGGAGTGAAAGAGGGTGAGAAGAACAGGAGAATGGTGGCTTGTGGTGGGGCCAGCAGGGTTGGGAGAGTGCAATTTGATGGTAAGTTACCATGCGTACGTACGTACACACGTACGGAGTTGGAGGAGGAGGAGGAGGAGGAGGAGCAGGATCAGGAGGAGGAGGACACAAAACAGTAAGAGGAGGGGAGGTAGATGGGACGAGAAGGTCGAGAGGATGATTGACGGGAGAATTTAGCTGTAACGGTGCCACACGACGAGGGAGAAGGGGGAAAAAGGGGGTTGCCACTCTTGTGGTGCTGGCAAAGGTTTACGAACTGGCTCTTTTTGCCCTTCCCTTTTTCTAAAGCTCACCTTTGTTGCAAAGATGCGATCCATCTTTTCTCATTTGTGGCCGAAGCCACCATGCAGGTGAAAAAAAATGCGCTCCTTTGGGCAAATGAAAAGAGACACGAATCACAGACGTACGTGGTCAAACTCTTTTTATCTTTTTTAAAGTTTTTTTCTTGTTTTTTTTTTTTCTTTCACTTCTTAAAACTTCTTTTCTTTTCTGAAAGACTTACCACGGACCAAGGTTGGATTTCGAGGCACAGAGTGAGAAAATCTGGGATGGGGGTGATGAACTGTCCTAAAGCAAGAGAGGACGTGCGAAGTTGCAAACATAGCCAATTCATATACGTTTGCACAACTTTGCAGATAAAAGGGTAAAGGCCTTTTTTTTTTCAAAAATACAGTTGCAGGGCACTGAATAAGAAAACTGTCCTGAGCAAAAGGAAAGGACCAGAAAAAAAAGTGATTTTAATTTTATTTCACGGACCAAGGTTGGATTTCCAGGCACAGAGTGAGAAAATCTGGGGTGGGGGTGATGAAATGTACTAAAGCAAGAGAGGATGTGCGAAGTTGCAAATATAGCCAATTCATATACGTTTGCACAACTTTGCAGATAAAAGGGTAAACCCGGTAAAGGCCGTTTTTTTTCAAAAATACAGTTGCAGGGCACAGAATAAGAAAACTGTCCTGAGCAAAAGGAAAGGACCAGAAAAAAAAAAAGTAATTTTAATTTTATTTCAAATTTGGTAAAGAAATTCGATGTGACCCTGAGGCAAAAGTTGTTCAGTTTATTTTTCTGCATAACGTAGTTTTTGCTATGAACCGCTCAGTTCATCACCAATGAGTGCACGCAATCACACCACATGCATGTACAAGATCACACGAGATTCACACTGAAGGCCAGAGAGATGAAGACCAAGTAGCGCAGCTCTAGAGTTCGAACAAGTTATTACAAGAGCAATAAGAGTTCAAGTCACCAGCGCTCATCAGTGCACGCTAAAGGTAACCAGTAACCAGCATAAGCTCTCAGGTAAGTATCTCTTCCCCACTCCTCTTCTTTCTTATGTATCTCTTCCCCTCGCTGGTCTTCTCCCTAGCTATGTCCTCGCTGTGTCTTCTCTCCCTACATGCGTGTACGCTCACTAACTTCTGCTCAAGGATCTACTCTGAATACATCCACTGCTATGCCCACTGACTCCCTACTAACTACCATTAACACCCTGCACTGGCGCAGCTATGGCTGCCTTCTCCCTGCCAGCGCAATCTCTTCCTCTCTCTCTTTCTCTTAGAGCGGCATCCTGGCTCAGTGCTCTGCCCCTCACTACAGCGCACAAGTGCACCAGCAATTTCACACTTGCGAATGAGCAATCTGCCGAATGAGGAGGCTGACCGGTCCTTTTGTCGTCTTGGATTGCACTTCAACTCGTGCCAGCCTCTGCTTCTTGGGTGTGACTGGGTCCCGGTACCACATCCCCACGGCCTGTCTGCTTTCGAATGTCAAGGCGTGGAACCTTCCCGAATTTCCACTGGKCTGCTGCTGCTTGGGCCTTTGAGTCATGGCTTTTTGATTTTGGCATATGGTTTTGACTGTGGACACAACTCTTGACTGTGGAACTGCCCTTTTACTCGTTGCATGTGACTGTTCAATATGATTTTTCATTATGAAACGTGATTCTTGCCCTTCAGATGTGACTGTTTGCTGGGTGCCTGTTGGACTGGACTGCTGAGGTACCCGACTGTGACTTTTCTGAAATCGACTGACTTCGACCTTTCGTAGCCAGGGCCTCTGACCCTGAGACCCGAATTTGGGGTCTGAATCGTGGAAGGCCTTTCACTCTTGCCGGCCTAATTTCGAAGTCCTCTGAGAAAACAGTTACCTATCTTCTATATTAATTCCTTTTCGAGCCCTCTCATAGTAAGACACAATATTCGGTGCAGTTTGAATCAGCTCCTCCCTAGTAAACCAGCGATCCTCAGATGGTTCTTGATAAGCAAATCTTACCTTGTACTGTCGCTGTGGCCTACCTCTGCGTCCGGATCTGAAAATATCTTCCCCAACAATTCTGCCCACATCATACTTCCCATCCATGTCAGGGGGAATCATCGGTCTACGAGTATGAATCAGGTCATTAGTAACGCAAGGTAGAAGCGTGGAAGCATGAAACACTGGATAAGTGTGTAAATGTGGAGGTATCTCGACAACATAGAAAGGACCATCTATATCACCAATCACATCTAAGATTTGCCACTGTCCTCTATAGGCAGGTAGTAGTTTCTGGGAGATGTTCTCCTCAGGGAGAAACTCTTTGGACTTTACCCAGACTAAATCTCCCACACCAAACTGCGAGGGTGTACGATGCTTGTTTGCTTGCTCTCTCATTTGATACTGTGCTTTGGCTATATTTCCTTTAACCTTTTCAATATCTTTCTGATACTGCACAGCAAATTCTCAAGTTCCCGGTGGAAGTCTCTGTATCTGATCAGGATTGAAACAGTCCATGGGTCTACGAGGGCGCCATCCCAAATGAATTCGGTAGGTGTTCTGCAAGTAGATAGATGTACATAATTGTTATAGGCACTAGCAACTTTGGACAGATATTCATCCCAGTCAACCTGATCTGGTCGGATGTACATTCGCAGCGTATGCTGCAACTGTTTGTTCATTTGCTCGGTCTGTCCGTTAGTCTCAGGATGTCTACCTGAGGACATAGTCAACTCGGACTGCAGACTTTCATAAGTTGCTGCCACTGTTAACCTGTGAAACGAGTATCTCTGTCACTTACAATGGTTAAGGGATGCCAATGGCTGAAAAATTCCCGAATTACCAAATCCGTCCTTGCTTCAGCGGGAAGTGGAACAAGAACAGCGAATTTACTAAACCTGTCCACTATAACCATAACTTGACTTTTTCCATTTCTACTTCTTATTTTAGTGTCCATGAAGCCGATAGACACGGAGTCTCCAGGACCTGACGGAATAGGCAGAGGTATGAGTAAACCAAGGTGAGGCTGTGTGGAACTCAGGAGGTTAGCATACGTCTTCCTCCTGTATAGGAAGACACAGTCATGTTTCATTCCAGTCCATGTATAGGAAGACTTGTTCCGCTGACAAACTTGACAGGCTTGCACATAAGCGATACAGTCATGTTTCATTCCAGTCCATGTATAGGAACGCAGGAGGTTAGCATACGTCTTCCTCCAACCGAAATGTCCCTCAGTGTCATAGCATTCCCCTAGGATCAAACTTCTAATCTCTGCATTGTTTGGAATACACAGTCTATCATGCACATCCGTTTTTTCAAACAGTCACTTGCGCTTTCTTTGTTACAGCACTATAGATAGGATCAGCAACGTATGCAGTCCTAACTTTCTCTTGCACATCAGTGCCTGCATCCAAATATGTCACAATGACATCGAAAAAAAAATAGATCTCCTACTTAATGCATCGGCGTCAACATTATACTTCCCCTTGACTGGCTTCAACTCGAAATCAAACTGATCAATCTCAGCGGCCCACCTTGCCAGTTTAGGTGTCATACGGGCCTGCGTTTTAAGCCAGCGAAGTGCCTCATGATCAGAGTACACTTTGAAGTGGCGTCCTAGTAGATAGTGTCACCAGTGACTCTAGGCTTCCCGGAGAGCAAATAGCTCTCTTTCGTACGTGGAAGCGACGACCTTCTCACTAGGCAGTCGACAGGCCAAAAACTCAACTGGCCTGTACCCCTTGGCATCGTCTTGCTGGAGTACGGTTCCTATCCCGTATTGACTGGCGTCAATGGTCACTACGAAAGGCAAAGATGGATCTGCAACTTTCAAATCCGGGTAGTTAGTTAGACATTACTTCAGACGCTTGAAAGACGTAGTACAATCTTAATCCCATTTCCATATCGTTTCTTTCTTCAACAGTTTGCGTAATGGGGCAGCAATTACCATAAAGTTCCGAACGAACTTGCGGTAATAGTTGGCAAGACCAAGGAACGAACGCAGTTCTGTCAGCCTACGTGGGTTAGGCCAGTCTCTTATGGCTGCAATCTTAGCGTCTTCCGGTTAAATCCGTCACCATCTACCATATGGCCAAGATATAAGACCTGACGCTTCGCCCATTCACACTTCTTGGGGTTAGTCTTGAAATTGCCCTCTCACAACTTATTTAGCACAACTCAAAGGTGCTCGTTGTGTTCGCTTAGACTCTTGCTAAAAATTAAGATATCAACCAAATAAACAACGACAAACTTATCAAGCCACTCATGAAATAAGTCATTCATATGTCTTTGGAAGGTTGCAGGTGCGTTAGTTAGACCAAACGACATTATGACAAACTCATAGTGTTCGTACCTCGTCTGGAAGGCCGTCTTATGCTGGTCTTCTGGCTCTACCTCAATCTGATGGGAACCAGATTTCAAATCGATTTTTGAAAAATACTTGCAACTTGCACCCTATCCAACAGATCGTCTATCGTGGGTAGCGGCTCTGCATTTTTTACAGTTATAGCATTGAGCCCCTTGTAGTCTATGCACATGCGCAGTTCACCACCCTTCTTTGGTGCAAATAACACTGGGGCACCGAATGGTGAGGAACTTGGTCTGATCCACCCCTTTTCTAATAGCTCATCTATTTGCTCCTGCAATTCTTCCAGTTCCATGGGAGACATTCTATAAATCGGGCCCTTGGGTATTTTGCTACCGGGTTCAAGATCGATCCGGTGCTTGATTGCTCTTTCAACTACTCCACTCGGGGCCTCTCCCACATCTGCAAACTCACTCAACAATTTCTATATCTCGGGGGGAACAGGCTCTGCCTTTCTTTCTTCTTCACTCACCGGGCGCACATACACAACAAACACCTGATCTGCGAGGCCATTCTTGGCCACATGTTGGGCAAATGCAGGGGCACTCATACGACAATGGGCTAGGCTACTCTCTACATCGGATGCATGAAACAACCGTACCTTTTTTTTCCCACCCTGGGGACTGGGGAGATAACATTCATGCTCACCCAATTTGATGTCTGCATCCGCAGGTTCGCCCCAATCAGTTCCTAAAATCATGTCAAAAGGGAGATTGTCTTCCACTAAGAGTGTCAGTGAGTGCAAAACTCATTGCACTTTACCCTCTGCCTCCAACTGGAAATATGCCCTAACCCCTTCAACACAATTATCTACTATCATTTCTCTATTATCTGCTAACTTGCTTACAACGGGCTGGTCTAACTTTTGAACCTTCAGCCCTAGACGCATCTTCCGCAACGCTTTCTTGCTTATATAACTGCGCATTGATCCACTATCTATTAACGTGCCCACTCTTACTTTACTAACCTCTATGTCGACAATTAGCAACTGCCCTTTCTTCTTCTTTATTTCGGCCCAAGCGCGGCGACGAGTGATCAGTTCATCACCAATGCTTGCGAGGGAACCACCTAGAGAAGTCCTGACACAAGCAACTTATGGGCAGCTAACTAGGTGGGGGCCAACTACCGTCTCAGTCTCTGCCATTGGGACCTCTGGATGGGAGGATGACAGTCTGCTTGCATCCAGAGTCCCTGTAGAGGTAACTGCAACCTCTACTGGCCGTTCCCGTTTGGGTACTTGTACTTTGTGGTCAGGGTCACCACACTTAAAACATTGACCGGCCTTACGACGCTCTTCTCATACTTTTCCATCTATACATGTCTAACCAAGGTTTGCCTTCAGCAATCCCTGGGTGTTTCGGGTATGGTCGTCTAGCTCTAACTCTTCTCCTGTGGAGTAGGAACCTCTTCCACCTTGCGGGGGACCATTACCCCTTCCTCCCACATAGTAGCGACCTTCGCCACTACCCCTCTGGGCGGAGGGTCCTCTTCCTCCACCTCGACCGCGGCCTCCTCTTCCTCTACCATGGCGTCTTCCTCCTTGTCGCCCTCCCCCGCGGGCTGCAACAGCCGCATAGTCCCCTCCCTGGGCTAAGTGACTATTGCTATCTTCTTCTAACCCATAATCTATTTGGTCATAGGTAAGTGACTCTACCCCTCCCTTGAAGGTGACCAGTAGGTTATCTTTGCCTGCTATATTACCCGAAATTGTTCGTTTTTTCCGTCTTGCCTGCAGGTCTTTCTAGTAATGACAGTATTGTGCCTCCTGTAGAAACCCAGCATGATCTCTTGCAATCTTGCTAAATTTCTCATAGGTCATCCCCTCTTCTTTGGTGCGGGGATATAGCTATGTTTTTAGGGGATCTGGGAGCGCTCTAGCAAAGTTATTTAGGATCTGTGCCGGTGTCAGTCCGTGATCTGGGCATTGCTACAGTCCATCCATCGTAGCGTTGAGCGCTGACGCACTCTTCCACGTACGGTCACTTATGTTGAGGATCAAGGATTCTGTTCTACGAGCCAGATTCTTATCTTCAAATCTCTCTCCGAGGGCCTTAAAGACATCTTGAATACGCGTACGTTGCGAATAACCATGGTAGTGCATCCAATCTCTTTCATCAGGGAGATGGCAAAGCTAATGGCATCTCCTGCCATACACGAACTTGCCATTAAAACGCGGTCCCAGTACGGAATCTTTTGTGCATACAGATAAGTATCCATAGTGGCTTCCCAGTGGAAGATACTCTCTTCCTTCTTCCCATTATATGGCCATGGCAGCTTCACTTTCATCTTCTGCCTGGATTCCTCCGCTTTGTTGTGCCCTTCTTTCTGGGGACCTTTCCCCTTCTCATCTCCATCATCACCACCGTCTCCTCCATCTCCTCCCCCACCACCAAGCTTTAATTTTCTTATCACAGAAGGATCAGTTATCTTTTTGGTGAGGGCTTCGTTTAGCTCCTTCAAATATCCAAAGATTCGGTCATCTACTTGGTGAGAGGCTGTGCGCAAGAAATTCTTCCATGTTCCCTCAAATTCTCCCTGATGGAACTCTAGTTTACTGACGGTTCGATGGAGAGCAGCAAGTTCTTCATTACTGCGGAGGAGGGTATCAGTCAAGAGGGCTAACCGTTCGTCTGAAGCAACTTGCTTATTCTTTTGCTCTATCAGCAGTGCTTGCAACCTCTCCCCGTCCTCCTTCATCCTCTTTTTGTCATTATACTCTTGTCTTTTTGCAGCCACCAACTTGTTGTTGAGTTCGGCTCTTTTCTCCTCTATCAGCAAGTCTCTCTCCTCCTGATCTGCTGCCGCTGCCATCTTAATCACAAATGCATTTTTCTCCTCTTCTGTTTCTTCCGGCATCTCTGTCTGATATCCGAACTGTCCCATCCAATCCATCGCCTCCATCTGCAACAACCTGACTTCCCCAACATGGCTGCTTTGAGCCTTCTCCTCTATGTGCTGGGTTCTCCTTCTTATCAACCTCTCACTTTCTTCTCCCTCTTCTTCTTCTTCTTCTTCTTCTTCTTCTTCTTCTTCTTCTTCTTCTTCTTCTTCCAGTTCCTCCAACACCTTCTTCTCTTTCTCTTTCATCTCCCTCTCCATGTTTTCTTTATCTTCGAACAGCTTTTTCTTCACTTCCTTCTCCTTCTTTCTTTTCTTCTCCTCTTCTTTTTTCTTCTCAGCCAGGCAACGATCTATCTCTGCCTGCTCCTCAGCTGTACTCGCCTGTGTTGACTTCCCAGACCACTGCATGTGAACAGAAAGTCCGTTGGAAGCCAAGAGGAAAGACGAAGCAAAGAAGGGGGCCCCAGAGCACAGACGGGGCCTGAAGTGAGAACATGGGGTAGTCGTCCATGGTGACTAGAAGCACAGGTAAGCGGCCTCCACCTCCTCACCACTTAGACCTAACTGCAACTACTAATTACTAACTCCTGAGTGGGTCTGAATGTTGCTGACTGCCGTATACCTTCCCGAAACTATATATATATAGCTCTATCAACAGGAAGGTGTTCGACGGTGCTGGATCGTCCAGAGTGCTGATGAGGTGGCGATTGACCTGAAAAACAATGTGTCCTCTCTACGTGGCCTC